GCCTGATTTCATGATGGCTTAATAGGGTGAATACAGTAACTTCAGAAAATATAATATTGCCATGATAAAATGAAGTAATATCACTATAAAAATGTAATTCTATTTTAACAACATTTTATTTATACACTATAAATAATCCGAACTTAATAAATTTCCAACCAAAAACAACCGATAATTACAAAATGATCTCAGTTTATAAATGGATCCCTCAATCAACTGGTGTGAATCATCACCAAATATCAATGCCATTATTTTATGTGCAGAACAGTTTATACTGTATTTAAAAAGAATAAAAACAATCACAAAACAAATCTAACAATTTAAACAATCCCAAACCGATTTCAAGATAAATTTGAAAAAGAACGTATTACCCAAAATAGTTTCAATTTATGTTGCCTAGCTAGTGGGGCAGCACATTGTCATGCATACTCATATGATCTTCAAGTTCAGTGGCAATTTGAAACTCGGCATCGCAGACAGAACAGATATAACCAATACCAGTTGCTTCTCTTGCTTCTAATTCCTTACAGACATCACATTGGTAGGACGTACCATGGTCTTTGGCCTTGTGCTGATATAAACTCTCAATATCAGGGAACTGTTTGTTGCATTTGTCACAAACAAAATGATCATCACTCTGTATCTCACTGGTATGTCCTTGACCTTGAATAATTTCTTTGCCACAGGTGTGGCAGAATAATAAGCCATCTCGCAAGTGTGATCTCCAGTGATGTTTGAAACTTTGTCGGTGTGTGAATGTTTTCTTGCAGATATCACACTCAAAACTTTGATTTCTCTTGTGTGCCGATGTTTTATGTTGTGTTAACTTGTGTGATTCTGAAAATCTCTTGTTGCAAATGTCACATTTGTAAGGTTTGTCTCTAGTATGCATACTTTTATGTCTACCTAAGGTGATCATTTGTGAAAATCTCTTCTTGCAAACATCACATTCATAAGGTTTGTCTCCAGTGTGTGTTCTCTTATGACCTGCTAAGTTGCTGGATTGAAAAAATCTCTTGTTGCAAACATCACATTCATAAGGTTTGTCTCCAGTATGCATACTTTTATGTCTAGCTAAGTTGCTCAATTGTGAAAATCTTTTGTTGCAAACATCACATTCATGTTTCTCTCCAGTATGTGTTCTCTTATGAATGGTTAAAGCGCTTGAGTGTGAAAATCTTTTGTTGCAAACATGGCATTCATAAGGTTTCTCTCCAGTGTGTGTTCTCTTATGACGTGCTAAGTTGCTTGACTGCGAAAATCTTTCGTTACAAACATCACATTCATAAGGTTTCTCTCCAGTATGTGTTCTCTTATGAATGGTTAAAGCGCTTGAGTGTGAAAATCTTTTGTTGCAAACATCACATTCATAAGGTTTGTCTCCAGTGTGTGTATACTTTTATGTCTAGCTAAGTTGCTCAATTGTGAAAATCTTTTGTTGCAAACATCACATTCATGTTTCTCTCCAGTATGTGTTCTCTTATGAATGGTTAAAGCGCTTGAGTGTGAAAATCTTTTGTTGCAAACCAACTTGCTTGGTCGTAAAAATCTTTTGTTACAAACATCACATTTATAAGGTTTCTCTTCAGTGTGTGTTCTTTTATGTCTTAGCAATGAGCTTCTCTGTGAAAATACCTTGTTACAAACATCACATTTCCTAGACATGGTTTCAGGCTTTCAGCTTTTGATCTTTCCCACGTATGCTCAGACGCGCGCTCAAATTTCGATTAAAAATATCACCCAACTGTTCTCTCGAGTCTGTCTTTATTGAATCTTTATAATACTTTGGTTCTTACACAATTTCTGATCATAAAAATGAGAATATTCAGAGACACAGTTTGCAAACAACACGAGTATCAAAATATGGCGCCCAGAAAGAATTTATATGGTGTTTCCACTTTACAAAAACAAAAATAATCGATGGCGAGATTTCGCAACAGATACAAACATACAGTCACAGAATAAGGTACACAGAAGGTCGACTCGAGTAACGCTGCCACGCCATGATTCATCATCAAAATGCTGACGCCATGGTCCTAGCCAGTGCGGGTTTGAGAGGCATTCCCCCCTGGACATCCGCCATTTTGAATGATATCAGGGGGGTGAATGCCTCTCAGACGCGCACTGGCTAGGACCATGGCGTCAGCATTTGATGACGAATCACGAGTTACGCCAAAATCATAGGAAAATCATAGGAAAAACGAAGAAGTCGGCCAGTGCTTCCATTTTCAAGGAAATTTCCTTTTCTAAGGAAATTCTAGTGTCGAAAAGGAAAATCCAAGGAAGAGAAAAAATCTAAGGAAATCTAAGGATTTTTTCCGAACAACTTAAATATTCATCCAAGTGCATTAGTGCAGACGAAAGTTTCACTATTTCTTGACTTTTTGAGTGAATTATCAATTATGTTTAATTAAAAATCTGTTTTTAACTTTTCCTCGTGTTTCCGAAAACTTTCGAAAGTTTTTGAGCGATAGGATTTAGTAACTTTTGGTGCCAAACACTGTGAATAATTAATTATTTATATCAATGGGAAGGTATATGTTGTAAAAGCATAACAAATATTTAATTTTAAACAGTGTAATAGCCTGTGGTTTTTTAGCTAGCAATCATCTTTGTTAATTGTGCTATTTTCTGCCTTTAACATTGATTAAATCCTTTGTATCGCTACAAAAACACTGCAAACCGCCTAATGAAATTTCAAGGAATTTTCAAGGAAATTATGTATACAATCTAAGGAATTTAGGGAAATTTTGATGATAAAAATGAGAAATTTTGATTTTTAAAATGGAAGCACTGAAGTCGGCCTTCTGTGTACCTTATTCTGTGATACAGTACTGTGATGAATGGAGAATAAAAGCAAAAACACAAACGAAAAATTAAATTAACCCACCCTCATGGTACAGGATGGAGTCTTTTGAGCAGACGAAACTGATACATCTTTCTCGCAGCGATTTGTTTTGCCAAACCAAAACAAACCAATCAGTGTTTCATGTTTTATATTTCACTATTGTGGAAGCCATATTTGCGCTAGATGGTAACTCTTATATAACAAAATGGCTGATAGTGATGTATTTTGAAATACAGAGTGAGGTCGCACTGTTTCAAAGGTTGTTGCTGATTGGTTCATAGGTGTAATGTGGTGGTCGTGGTGGGCGGCCAATCATATCGAGTTCTGATAAAAGCTTATTCAAACATTAACTAACACATTAAATATTAATTTATTGCTAAAAATGGGGCAATAATAGTGAAAATGAATCGTCATACACTTTGATATCAACATAATTACATTACACTCTTGGACATATTTCATTCGATTTATGAGTTTAATTATAAATGCAAGTGGATGCTATGGTCGACCTAGCAATGCATTGATATTGCTGAATTATAAAGGTTAATACTCTATTTTTTAAGAAATTTTACAATGTACTGAATCTAGTAAGGCTAGTATAATATATATAGCAGTTGTGGTAGTGTGGCAGTAGTGTGGCAGTAGTGTGGCAGTAGTGTGGCAGTAGTGTGGCAGTAGTGTGGCAGTTACAGTGTGGCAGTAGTGTGGCAGTAGTGTGGCAGTACTGGTAGAGGTGTAGAGTAGCAGTTGAGGTGGTGGCGGTGGTAGCAAGCCAATAGTATTTGTGATATATAATGGTTGTTTTCATATTAATAATATTACTCTAAAAAAATAAAATTTGCAGGATAGTACAAATACAATATATATGCAGCAGTAGCAGTTGAGGTAGTGAGGCGGTGGTGGCAGTGGTGGCGATGGTGGCGGTGGTGGCGGTGGTAGCAAGCCAGTAGTATTTGTGATATATAATGGTGTTTTCATATTAATAATATTACTCTAAAAAAATAAAATTTGCAGGATAGTACAAATACAATATATATGCAGCAGTAGCAGTTGAGGTAGTGAGGCGGTGGTGGCAGTGGTGGCGATGGTGGCGGTGGTGGCGAAGGTGGCGGTGGTAGCAAGCCAATAGTATTTGTGATATGTAATGGTGTTTTAATATTAATAATATTACTCTAAAAAAATAAAATTTGCAGGATAGTACAAATACAATATATATGCAGCAGTAGCAGTTGAGGTAGTGAGGCGGTGGTGGCAGTGGTGGCGATGGTGGCGGTGGTGGCGGTGGTAGCAAGCCAGTAGTATTTGTGATATATAATGGTGTTTTCATATTAATAATATTACTCTAAAAAAATAAAATTTGCAGGATAGTACAATACAATATATATGCAGCAGTAGCAGTTGAGGTAGTGAGGCGGTGGTGGCAGTGGTGGCAGTGGTGGCGAGGGTGGCGGTGGTGGTGGCGGTGGTAGCAAGCCAATAGTATTTGTGATATATAATGGTTGTTTTAATATTAATAATATTACTCTAAAAAAATAAAATTTGCAGGATAGTACAAATACAATATATATGCAGCATTAGCAGTTGAGGTAGTGAGGCGGTGGTGGCGAAGGTGGAGGTGGTAGCAAGCCAATAGTATTTGTGATATATAATGGTTGTTTTGATGTTAATAATATTGCTCTAAAAAAATAAAATTTGCAGGATAGTACAATAGATATGCAGCAGTAGCAGTTGAGGTAGTGAGAATGGTAGTATGGTGAAGGCAGGGCCATTCCTAGCGCGATAATTGGGGTCGGGGGGTATATTCATATATTCGTGTTCTGCCAAGGCCTCGAAATAAGTGCCAGTCACTGACCGGTAAAAAGTCACAGTTTGACCGGCAAATCTTGTCGCCTGGCGGACATACGTGACCAGTAAATTTTTTAATAAAAAAGTACATTAAAAAATGGAGCAGATTTTAATTTCCAATTTTCCAAAGAAGCGTATATGTCCGTCTACAGTGCAGGCAAATAATGGCGGCGAAGTGACACATTTTGTCATACATGCAGATACGATATACCACAAGCATTGTACCTAAGGGGCGGATAATTTGACTTTGGGGGGGGGGTTGGAAGATTTCAAAAAAAATATTCCTGCAACCCAAGGAGAAAGAAAGAAAAAATCATGCAGCATACAATCGAGAAAAAAAATATCATGCAAAAAGGGGCGCTCAAAAAAATATTCTTGCATGTAAATCTACTGAAGCTTTTCACTTCAGTATTGTATCCACAGGCTTGAAAGATTTTGCATTTTTGAGCAGCTAGCACATTTGCTTAAAAGAACACTGGGTAAACAGTGGACAGCATCACAGGGATAGCCAGTCGGACATTCCCTGGCAAAATTGTTGCCCTTTCTATAATAAACAGAAAAATACATGGGCATGGGCGTCAATCCTTGGGAATGGGGTGGGGGGGGGCATGTCCCGCAGTTTTTGGAGTAGGGGGGACGAATATCTAATTATCCCCCCCCCCACACTTTTTGACATGTTTAATGAAATTTTGTTTCTTGGTTATCTAAAAACCTAATGCATGGTCATTGCTGTTCTTCAAAAATTGTGAATGAATGGAAGACATTTAATAAGAAGTACAACGTATGATCTTTCTGTAGCCGCTCGGAGCAAGTACTGATATCTCATATGTAAAATTGTAAATATTTAAAAATAATTGCGTCTTAACTGTGTCGTCTAACCCTACAAGGTTATTACAGTTAGCTTGCACCTTCATATTATGTAATATTTAATGAAGAGAAGCAGTGGCGGACGCTAGGGGAGGGGGCGAGGAGTGGCCCGAGCCCCCCCCCCCGATAATTTTAAAAGACTGTAAAAATCTTGTACCAAATAACACAAATCACACTCATATAACGTAATTGTCATATCAAATAATAACTATTAGATAAAACTTAAGCTAAAGCAGTAAGCAATATACCAAACAATATAATAATATACGTTTCTGTACTGTACATGACACAACATACGCATTTTATACATTCTTTTTGACGGATACTAGGAGGTCAACTTTTTGCAACAGGCACTTCTTTAAATGTCATTGTCGATTTTTTGTTGTTTTTGAAGCTTATACTAGTCTTTAGCAGCAAAATTTTCTGCTGCACAATAATATTTGAATGCGTATTAAACTATTATGCTCAAAAACAACGGATAATTCAATTAACATTCCAATTTTAATTATGTTAACAAAAACAAAAGCGTGCGCAGCGAATAAATTTCACTCACTCAGAAATGGTAATAATCATGTAAATATTTTCTCTGAAATGTTGTTTTTCTATGCTTTGCATGTGATTTATAACTGAATTAATGCCGACCATTAAAACAGTGTTTTGAAAACCTAGTTTTTACAAAATGTGTTCTCAGAATGCTGCAAATGCCATTTCTGGGATCCAAATTTTAAAATTTTTCCGTGCCTTTGGCACGAGCCCTCCCCCAAATATTTCGTAAAGTGTCCGCCACTGAAGAGAAGTTATATGTAAATTTCCAGGTGCTAATAAATATTGATTAATAACTGAGTTTCCCTTACATAGATGATTATCATCAAAATAAGGCAAATAGATCGGAAGAGCAATAGAGTGAGGACATGTTCATCGAGAGTAACGTCTGTTTACAGGCTAGGACATGTTGGTTTCTAGAGTGTTTCTCACATGGTTAACATTCTCACGTGGATTTAAGATCAGCACATTGTAATATAACTTTATAAGTGCCTCCAAAACGCTGGGAATGCCGTTTCAGTGTACCAAAATTTAAAAAAAAATCGGGTAGCATGCCTCCGGACATTCATAATTTGGAGTCCGTCCCCCCCCTCCCCCACTTTTTGGGACTTCGTGTTGAACATGATATCTCACTTGTTTGCTGCGCTCACTTGTGAGATATCATGTTCAACACTCTCTATCTATTAACTATACAGGGTGTATAAAAAAAAAGCAACCTCGGAATTTCCTAAGAAATCACTTTGCATTCTTAAGCATAAAAGATTTTAGGCCCCTGGGAATTGAAATCAAATTGCTAATAGATCATATTACCGTCGTTTTGCATTAAATAAATTTTGCTTTATGCAACTCGCGTGTGCAGTAATTTTGACAGTTGTGCTATTTTAAATTCCCAGGCGCCTAAAATCTTTTGTCTTTAATTTAAAACAATGTCGATTTCTCGGGAAATTCCGAGGTTGCATTTTTTTTATACACCCTGTATATGGCTACGCTAAATATTTCAATACAGACAATGGATTGCAATAATTTGCAAAACAGTTATGTCATAGGTGGTTATGTTTTCAGAAGTTTATGTTTTTGATTGGTTGGTTGCGTGCGTCTCCCAGCACACATACTTTATGACCGGGCCCTAGAAAGCACGTTTTCCCATGACATATTTTTAATAGTATTACATTCTTTTGTAAATAAATTATTTTGCTGGTGGTGTTACATGTTGTGTTTTTAAGTTACGTAGCGACATGAGCTATGGGTAAGTGCATGGGCTGAGATATCACAAAATAATATCCCATTTGTGCTGTCTTCTATACTTTCAATATCATTAGTAAAAATGTTATCAATTAATGTGGCAGTGTGTTGTGTGATTCTTGTTGGTCTTAATGTAAGTGGGAAAAATGAAGACGTAAACATTTGTTCAAGAAATCTGCTAGTATAAATCACAAGATTCTGATTTCAACAGATCTGTATTAATTAATGAAATCTCCCATGAGCTGGCCTATCTTATTTTCTTTGTCTATTTTGCCTAGTATCTGATTCATTATATTTTCAAACAAATCAATTTTATTATTTGGCGGTCTGTATATTACCCCTATTAGGGACCGGTCGTAAAGTAACTGCTAGGGTGGGCTGGAGTTTTTTGGGATGGGCCATGGAAAATCTTTGGGCAGTTTTTTTTTGTATGTCCACGGTTGGGCCACCAAACAAAAACCAATATATTATATAAAGATATTAATAATAAAAGTAAACAAAACTATCCAAATGCAAATGATGCTATTGAAGCCAGTACTTTGTTTTATCAAACAAGAAGAGGTGGTCGAATCACAGCAAATACAACCAAATGGAGAACAGCTCAGTATCGTAATTGGTGATGAATGTGTTGGTCAAGCTTGGTGGAATTACGTATGTCAATACAGTTCCAGTGTATATTTACAATGTTCATACCTTCAAATTTTTTTTTTATAAAAGTGTATTTCCCCAATTTAGATTGGGCGGGTGGGTCATGAAATAAATTTGGTAAGATTAGATGGGCTTTGAAATTTTTATCTACATCCTAAGATGGGTCACCAAACTTATTGGAAAAATTTGTGATTTACCTCCAGCCCACCCTAGCAGTTACTTATGACCAGTCCCTTAATAGTAATACGTTTCACCAACAGCTGTAACGAGTTTTATGAATATGGATTCAATTGTAGTTTACCGCTACGATTCATGATGATAAATACAGTAAGTAAGTAAGTAAGTAAGTAAGTAAGTAAGTAAGTAAGTAAGTAAGTAAGTAAGTAAGTACAAGTAAGTAAGTAAGTAAGTAAGTTTGCAAAAGTCCTCATTAATATTATCATTTAGCCACGTCTCAGTTCAGTTAAACCTATTATGTCTAATGGTATGTTTAATTAATGATTTGGTTTACTCCTTCAAAGAGTCAAATTTATTAACTATTATGCTTCTTGTATTTAAGTGTAACATCGAAAAGCTTTCGTTGAGATTCGCCTTGTTGGTAAATTTATTGAAATCATTTGGTAAACTTAATATTCACAGTTGTTTATTATTGTTTTTTTCCATATTTGCGTTGTTTTCAGATTTATAGGCAATATTATTAAAACGAGTGTCGAAAGGGTTAAATTTCAAATGCCTTAGCCTATATCCATATCGTTTTCACTGATATTTTTTCGTTTAAAACGGTAAATTAATACTCTAAATCGTCAAGTGTGTGGTAGTATTATTATTATTATTATTATTATTAGTATCAGATAAGCAATTTTGACACATGTCAATAGTGTTATTTGTATTGGAGTCAAATGACTTTGCGCAAGCAGACACAGCGTGAAACAATTTTTCACATGTGAGACATTGACATTCAATATATTTTTGTGTTTCTTGAATTATTTTGAAGCAGGAATAGCATTTTTTCTTGTGCTTATTTTTACCAGTAGCCATTTAGAAAGTAGTTTTGTCCAATGTTAAATTAGATTTTCAAAACACACCGCAATATACATGACATAGTATTAAGTGAGTGTTTGTATTAACGTGTATTAGTATTATTAAAAACTTGCCCTTCAATAATCAATTTATCCTTAACAATTCTTGATTGTTTTCCCGCAGCTCTTGCCTTCTTCAATTCAGGGAAGCAGCTCTTGCCTTCTCCGTTACGGCCAATTCGATGAGATCGGTCAATCTTGACATGCTTACGCTTACGTGCGTCTTCGATTTGAAGTAATGAACGATTTCTATCTTTTGCTCTAAGAGATCATGTATAATTTCCGTTGTATTCTCCTTCTCGTGTTCGGGTATGTTGAAGAACAACAGGTTGTCGCGCATAGACCTCGCTTGTTATAAAGTCTATTATCTTGTTGCGCATAGACTGTATATTAGCATATCGCATGTCAATAGCAATATAATTTCGTTTTGGAAAGTGATTTTGTATAGATTTTATTGATATTATATCGATTTAACTCATAAAATATGCTTCGCAAGTCAACTGTTATATTTATATCATGATTATCGCGGATATTATATATTTAACTCATGAATTTATTTATCGCACCTTGAAACTACACACTTGACTTGTTAGTGATACTGATATCATGTGTCTATTCATGATTTCGTTTTGGGAAGTGATTTTGTATCGATTTAATTAATATTGTATCGATTTAACTCATAAAATATTCTTCGCAGCTCAGTTGTTATATTTACAAACAGGCAATTGCCGCGGATATTATATATTTAACTCATGAATTTATTCATCGCACTCGATCTTTCTCGAGTCTCGAAGCGAGATTCAAACGGAAGTAAGAAAGGCCTCTAAAGTGATTCTGTGATTCGTCGACCACCACGACCACCAATTAACATGCTCTAGCCAATGGCGTTAGACCTTGCAAACGGTGCGACCTAACAGCATTCTTTGCTAAAATGTGTACCAGGAATACTGAAATCTTTCAGATCAGCTACCAATTCCCTTTATAACTTATGTAGCCAACTGTTCTATCAATTTCTGTTCAGATTAAACAAATGATGGATAAAATATTGTTCTATCAATTTCTGTTCAGATTAAACAAATGATGGATAAAATATTAGTTTAGATTCTTTAAAAAAAAATGAGCTTGCCTATTTTGAAAGCATAAAAAGCAATAAAATAAAGCAAAAGTACTTATTTTTAATTTAAAACCTTTGGATTGCATAGCTTAATGTTCCACTAAATATTACAAAGTTTTTGTTCATTGAAATGTTGTTTTATCAGCTTTAAAACCAGATAAATACACGAAGCACTCCTATAAATATATGTCGCCATATTGATTTTTTCGCGCATGCTCCATACAAAATGCCCAGCTGTTGGTGAAGGCTATTTCAGATACGGTAGAGCACCCAACCTCGTTCCCAGGGTATTTGCTCTTGGGAAGCAAAGACCCTGGTGGACGCTGGTCACGTGATCTGCTAAAATCTAGCAGATTTTTAATTAGCGTTGTTTTGTCAATCTGGGAGGGGTGGGAATGTAGTAGTTGACATTCGCCAGATGCATTAGTGCTGTATACTTCACTTTACATGTATTAATAAACATGATTTATATACTGTTCTAAATTCGTACTCATCATGACAAGATTTCCTGCTATTGAATGTCATCAATAATAAGTGCTGCGGTACATTTCAAGCGAGAAGCTGGATCATATTTCACTTGCAAGGAAACTATACTCCATACGCGCCTGGCTAGTGAGCACGCATCAGATCGCCGTATAAACATACATATCTGATATCTTCTACACCGACTGATCGATCAAACGGTATTTATATAAAACGAACGATATGATATGGTTGTTTATAGTTGAAATGTATCCTGTCCGATATTCAAAACAAAGGATTTATTTTATAACGCGATCCTTTGATTTCCCAACTGAAGTACTGAACATCGCCAACTGTGCATATAAAAACAATAGTGCTGTTTTGACTGTGAATTACAGTAAGCACAGGATTAAAACCCGTTATTCCTTTTATTTACATTGCTGAAACAGCTCAACGATCAAGAATGATATATGTCGAAGTACAGCTACAGTATACAGTGTATCGGTGCGTGCGGTACAACTTGAATATCTAGGACGATATATGCACTAGACTAAATTATATCATATATTGCAGTAAACATTATAAATCTTATAAAGACCTTTCATTGGCATTGGTATTAATGCCCAGGCATTTGAAGAATAATCCAACTTAAAATCCAGCTTCATTCGACTTGTATAATGCCTCTACTGTGAGTCATCAATATTTAAATCAACTTTAGGTCTTTAATCTTTATCGTATATATACCCCTATACTGTGTCGTAACTGTAATTGAAGTTTTAGAAGTTTCACCAAACGATACTTCGTAACTGTAAGCAAACAAACTATCTATCAGTATCAATAGAAACTTTAAAAGGCTTAATAAAACTCATTAAGTAATTCTATGAGCGAGACTTGGTGCGCATACTCAGTTTATGAATTATGTATATATAAATATATATCCCTGGACCCTGATAAGATAAAACGTATATATAGGGACACTTCGTACCAGATATAATAACAAATACTTTGCTAAATCTTTTCGGATATCATTCCTTTGCATTCAGGGTGGGAGGGTGAATGGCGATAGCTATAATTTATTATAGGAGATTCTGTGCAATATTTTGGCTCCACAAAGACGTAGTCGTGAAGACAAAAACACGGTGCACTGTCGAGTGTCGATTCCAAACAATTTTGTCAGTCGCTTTTGATACCTCTATTTTACAAAATTTATACCGTTTCCTTTCTATATGACAACAATTCAATGGCATATTATAAGAATATTGTAAATATCTGAACCCGAGGCAGAGCCAGGACAGAAACGTACGTATGAAATGAAAATATTGCGCCCGAACCCCGAGAGAATATTAAAAACGCAAATATTTCAAACAATACGGTCATACGTTTTCGTTGCTTGATTTGCTGACTTGTCTGTTAGTACAAGAATCTGCATTTTACCATGTTTGTATAATTTAAAACGGCAAACAGAAACCAATTTTACGGTGGCCCACAGGTGTCAGTACACACACAAAATCGAATACCGAAACCAAAGTCAAAAACGTAATTCTAAACTTAAAACACTAGTCCAAATTATCAACTCACAATTCCAAATTATCAACTCACAATTCCAAATTATCAACTCACAATTCCAAATTCTCAACTCACATTCCAAATTCTCAACTCACAAATTAAAATTGTCAACTCACAATTCAAAATTGTCAACTCACAATTCAAAATTATCAACTCACAAATTAAAATTGTCAACTCACAATTCAAAATTATCAACTCACAATTCAAAATTATCAACTCACAATTCAAAATTATCAACTCACAATTCAAAATTGTCAACTCACAAATTAATTTTACGGTGGCCCACAGGTGTCAGTACACACACAAAATCGAATACCGAAACCAAAGTCAAAAACGTAATTCTAAACTTAAAACACTAGTACAAATTATCAACTCACAATTCTAAACTTAAAACACTAGTCCAAATTATCAACTCACAATTCCAAATTATCAACTCACAATTCCAAATTATCAACTCACAATTCCAAATTCTCAACTCACAATTCCAAATTATCAACTCACAATTCCAAATTCTCAACTCACAATTCCAAATTCTCAACTCACAAAAAATTGTCAACTCACAATTCAAAATTGTCAACTCACAATTCAAAATTATCAACTCACAAATTAAAAACTCATTTGCCCAGGCCACCAGTGTTTTCGCGCACAACATGGCCGTACAGAATCTTTTGTGGCTGCGATTGTGGCATGTTTTGTTCATCATGCGGTTACAACTTAGAGGAAACGTTTAATTTTTGCCCAAATTGCGGTACAAGAGCTGCACGTCCATCGGCGGAGGGTGAGACAGATTCCACTACAGTGCATTCTGAAGCTGACTGTGAGAAAGAAGCAATTGAAAGTTACTTCTTTGCAGGGTATGAATACGATACAATACTATGTTTCCTAAGTAAGCATCATGGCATCACTATGTCATTGTCGACACTTAAAAGGCGTTTAAAGCAGTATGAACTAAAAAGAAAAACAGGCGACGAAGTAAGCGATAATGAGCTTATGGAGATTATTAGGAAAGAAATCGATGGGCCAAGCTGTGTTTCGGGATATAGAACATTATGGCACACTCTTCGTCTTAAATATAGAATGTGTGTTCCACGAGCTCGTGTGCAAGCATTACTGAAGGAGATAGATCCTGTTGGAACAGAGCAACGGAAGCGTCATAGGCTGAAAAGAAGAGAATACAAATCCCCTGGACCAAACCAGTGCTGGCATGTTGACGGCTACGACAAACTGAAGCCATTTGGATTTCCACTACATGGCGCCATAGATGGTTATAGCCGTCGCATGCTATGGTTGAAGGTTACAAGAACTAATAGTAACCCAGCTGTAATTGCTAAATATTATCACGACTGCATCGAGGAGTTAGGTGGTTGCCCAAGAATTTTATCAACAGACCCTGGCACTGAAAATGTTGAAATAGCAACCTTGCAGTGTTATCTGAGAGGTGATGGTACAGATGACTTTGCCGGTGAAAAGGCGCATCGTTATGTTGCATCAACAGCAAATCAGCGAATTGAGTGCTGGTGGTCCAGTTTGAGACGAAGTCGTACATCATGGTGGATAAACTTTTTTAAGGATTTATCTGAAAGAGGGGTGTACATAAGTGGTAACATTTATCATAATGAATGTCTTTGGTTTTGTTTCAATGAAATTCTACAACAGGACTTAGATTTTTTCAGGGTTCATTGGAACACTCATTACATTCGTCAATCAAGACACGATACAATCGCAGGGAAACCTGACGAACTTTTTTTCTTGCCTGAAACCTTTGGAGGTGAAGACCAAATGCAAGCAGTTACCGATGCACAACTGGAAGTGGTAGCTTCTCATTGTGAAGAGCCTATTGTTGATAATGATTACCAAAGTTACTTTAATTATGTTGTTGACCTTCAACAGCTGGCAAAACCAAGAAATTGGAAGGAATGCCTAAATTTGTTTGAACATTTACTGAATTACAACACCTAGTTTTTGAATCATAGATCTGCTTAAAAAGACAGGAAAATAATTTATGCTAAGTGACATTGATTAATCAACAACAATTTATGGTATATATTATGTAATATGGTTGAATTTCTATATTACTTTTTTCTATTGTCATGTTATAGTAATAACTGCAGTTAATTAATATGAACTTTAATATTAACTTTTCAACAGGAATTTACAACAACTAAATTGACGATGCACTATATTAATGCGAATATTAAGAATTATCATCAATTAATTTGATTGCGAATTTCAGTTATCATTAATTAAAATGTGTTTTATTGTAACACTAACTCTTTTAATATAAAAAAATCAACATACAACGTAAACTAAAAACCTCAGTCTTAGTCACTTAATTCATTATCACAACCGATTCGTCAGTACCCTCATTGTCACTATTGTTATTAATTAACATTTTGTTTCTGTTGTTGAAGATGGCATATTGTGAACACTGGACTGGACTTTGGACTTTCGATTTTGAAATTATATTATTTTTAAGATTTTCGTATAATTATATTAATTAAAATCTAAACAGAGAACGAAAATTTGTGCATGATATAAGAGGGACCTGAAGGGGGGTCTTATTCCCATTCAGTCCCAGCCCAAATTTTGACTAAATCCCATTGTCCCAGAGCACAAATCCCATCATCTCAGTGGCTGTCCTGCTCAAATCTTAATCCCATTCCCATCAGTTTTCTATTGTTTTTTTTGCTGATGAATCCCAGTCCCAGTGCATGAATCCATTTTCCCACCCAAAAATAAGCAAATCCCAGGTCCCATTTTACCCCTTCAGGGCCCTCATATAATATTCAAGGTAAAAAATACTATCAGTTTATATATAGGATACCAGTCCAATTTCATAGATATAGCCTGTGGGATTATACAATTACTTTATGGTTTCCGTGTTTGGATGGCCTGATCAAGCCCATAGATCAAGCCCCCTGTTTCTTCCACTTTGAATAATTTTAGGTCAACTTCTCCTTTGACAATCCCTTCCCTGCAACGTCCATGATTCTTCTCGCCCGAGAAACACGCCGTTATTCAGGATAAATTATTGTAATATCAGTTTTAAAGTAGGTAAAATTCATCAACTTTAAAGCAAGGAAATTTTGAAAAAATAGGGACATTTTGAGCAGTTGAGAAGGAATTTTTTATAGTGGAAGCACTGGTGGTCGCGCAACTTTAAGTTTACATTATATGATGAAAACACTGATTTCATCATTTTTTACATTTTTATTAATTTATATTCAGGGGCTGGAGATCTCTCGATTGCCGCAAGTTTTTTCAAAAATATTAAAATGCGTCCGAAATATAACAAAAAATGTTATAACCACTTATTCTTTTGCCGCGAAAGTTGTAATTGTAATCACAGGCGGCCCAATCTTATATTACCCTGTGTTATTAATTACGTTATATCTTTATATATAAATAATATAATATATTGAAAATCATTAGAAAATCGTGTGTTATTAATTTATTACGTTATATCTTTATATAATAGTATAATGAAAAGCACTTACATGTGTTTCCTGAAAGATTTTAACGAGAACCGGCCAAGATTGGCGTTGACAAGAGGTTAACGGCCATAGTTGGGGTTGACATGAGGATTAACAGCAAGAAATAATACAAGGCTGGTCACTTTGAAAGTGACCGTTAATGTCTTGGTGGTGCATGACAGATCTGTATTCTGCATTTTCGTTTGGCCGATTTAGATCGGTCCGTATAGCTGATCATTATCCCCTTTTTTACATTTGCGTTTCGCCGGTATATTAGCAATTCAAGTTTTTTTTGGGTGGTTTCTCGCATGTACGGTTTGTGATAAATTGATAATGAGTGAATGACACCTAAAACCCTTGCCAAAACACACTTTACTAAATCGGCCAAATCTAATATCGTCTCAGTTTTACGGAGATTGAAATATTCTCAGATTGTCCCCACAAAAACAGTTTAGAAACGCGCAACGTTTTATCTGATTCCCTCCAAACTTTGCCACAATGTTGAACAATAGTACAGGAGCAAAACCGTGTTCGCGTTTTTTATTTAGTGCCATACTTTTCAAGTCATAGGCATCTGTTCTGCCGTTCTCCCAAAATTTAGATGAGTCAACTTGTCTGCTTTATATCAAAGCAAATACAATACCTGTCAAAAAATGCGAACACGGTTTTGTTCTTTGATCATTTGAGATGGGAAATATGGAAATATTATGTTTCGGAAGCCTTTGAGTTAAATCAGAAGCGTTCTGATCTCGTGGCGCAAAGGCCGTCATATTTTCAAAAGCAACCCGTAGCAAGTACAGTTTTTAAAGATGTAGAATTTTTGGTAAATCGTTAGCTACAGCAATGATTTATCATTATGTAAGGGGGAAACTTGAAAATTGAGGCGGTGAGCATTTTGATGAAATGGGTTTCCATCATGCGGAGTAACCTTAACTACTTCATGTCCTTCATGTCTTGTTTTTTTTTTATGTTACTCTGAGTGTATAATATATTCACACCGGGCAGGCTGAAAAGTTAGCTGACCACGGTGGGAATCGAACCGCGACCTTTGGGATACTAGTCCAATCACAGAATAGAAAATAAAATATATTCTATTCTGTGGTCCAATGATCTGCCAACTGAGCTACGAGGCCAACAGTTCGAGTGTGTGGTATTTCGGAACTACGTCTAGTACCTTCGATACCAATGACCAATGTGTTCTATGATCATGATTTTAGTATTATATTACATTATATTCACCTGAGTGCATAACATCAAAACACACGGCAAAAATACTTCATGTCTGCCTATTATTGTGTCCCGGCATGTTGATGAGTTGACAATTTTGAATTGTGAGTTGACAATTTTGAATTGTGAGTTGATAATTTTGAATTGTGAGTTGATAATTTTGAATTGTGAGTTGACAATTTTGAATTGTGAGTTGACAATTTTGAATTGTGAGTTGACAATTTTGAATTGTGAGTTGACAATTTTGAATTGTGAGTTGATAATTTTGAATTGTGAGTTGATAATTTTGAATTGTGAGTTGATAATTTTGAATTGTGAGTTGACAATTTTGAATTGTGAGTTGACAATTTTAATTTGCCTGAGTGCATAACATCAAAACACACGGGAAAAATACTTCATGTCTGCCTATTATTGTGTCCCGGCATGTTGATGAGTTGACAATTTTGAATTGTGAGTTGACAATTTTTATGTCCCGGCATGTTGATGAGTTGACAATTTTGAATTGTGAGTTGACAATTTTTAATTGTGAGTTGAGAATTTTGAATTGTGAGTTGACAATTTTGAATTGTGAGTTGACAATTTTGAATTGTGAGTTGACAATTTTGAATTGTGAGTTGAGAATTTTGAATTGTGAGTTGACAATTTTGAATTGTGAGTTGACAATTTTGAATTGTGAGTTGACAATTTTGAATTGTGAGGACTAGTGTTTTAAGTTTAGAATTACGTTTTTGACTTTGGTTTCGGTATTCGATTTTGTGTGTGTACTGACACCTGTGGGCCACCGTACAAACCATTGTTATTTATTTAATAAATATGTATTATACAAAACTCTGCACAAAAAGACGTAAATAGCATTGGGTCCTACAGATAGTAAGCATCTGCATTAGTTTGCAGCTCTGGCATTCTCCAAGGTCATCATGATCTGGACAAGGAGAGACCGCTTTTTTGCAAGACACGCAGGAAAGAGTGTTGGTCGTTTGATGAATACCAATAATCTTGCCAGAAATAGTTGAGAACACAATATCAAATAGGCCTTCTTGAAACTGAACAAGGGATTTTTCAAATGCAGCTTCCTCTGCGGCAGTAAATTTGTCACCTTTTGGGGTGTTTAAGAGGCTGTCTCTGTAAGAACCGGGCATCCAGTTCTGGAAGGAAATACGAAAGTCTTCAAATTTTTCACAATAATTTTCCTTTCAGGTACTTGTATGAAAAAAGAAATCGGTTTGCATTAAAAAGCTTTTTTTGTAAAATTTGGCCCATCGATATTTTACACCTTGATGGGTCCAAAATGGCGGCCTGAAACTGCCGTAAATAGCAGATTTCCGTATGACTCTCGCGAAGCAAGCAGGCAAGTGAGAGTCTTATATATCAAAATATTTTAACAATCAGTGCTTATAGTTTCTTACAACAAAAAATCAGACACATCTATCCAGGATTTGAGGAGAAATAATTTTCTGAAAAGATACACTTTTACTAGTTTGAAAAGTCACACTTTATAAGACAAATTAAATAGCAAATTTCGTAAGTTTGGCACCTTATACCAAGTACACATTACTACCATTGTAAACTTAGAGTTGTGTTTTTTTAACAGGAAACGTAAAATATTTGGGCACTTGACGGGCATAGCCACAAATCATCTACAAAGTTTGATAATTTTCCTGTAATTGACGACACATGCGTTGCTAACGTAATTTTTCTTGAAAACCCTCACCCAGCAACATTGCTTGAAAAATAACTTTAAAGTCAACTTTTATTTTGCTTTTGTTTATTAAACGTTTTGCAATTAATATGCAAATATTTTTTCTGTCGCGCTTGGTCATTTATTTTTGTATTTATTTTTACCTGTGGTTCCATGTTCATTGCAGGGGCGTGCTCAAGTTGTGAATATCTTGAATCGATTAGCAAACGGCTTGAAATATCGATCGGCGAATACAGGCATTTGTTTAAACTGTAAAACTTGTAACAAACTTTATATACTTTCATAAACAAAGATTACAATTCTGCAATTATGTTGCTATATTAAATAAATGTAAAAATTTATGCTACATGCTAATTAGTTGAGCATTGT